TTGAAGTCCTTATCTGGAGCCTTGCTAAGTTTTTGATAGGTAATAAATGTTTTCAGCTTGTAGTGATATGTTGCACACTTCCTACCATTTCCTTCAATGATTTGCATTGATCACTAAGTCTAGGCTCCTTAAGAATAACTCTCCTATAATTTCTAGCGGAAATGATCTGGTCCTAAAGTGCTATCATAAACCCATTTCCATGAATCTGAATAACACTTATTCGACATTTATTTTTATAACATTTGACACTTATTACAATATATTGTTGACCACTGATGTCAAGCATGAGGGAACTTCCAATTCCAGTGTTGCACGTTATCTGTTTTGTAGGTAACTCTGAAGGTAAAGCATTTTCAGTTAAATGTGACAAAGCCAATAGTGAGTATTTCTGGAGAAATGATGTGTGCATATTCCAAAAGTATCTATGTAGGTTTGTGACCTGTTTATCATATGTTCTCAGAATGTCTTTCAATTCTCTTCCATCTTTGGGATGATTAAATATTAACATTTCTATAGCTGCCTTAAGGCGATAAGCCCTGTATTTTATTTATATTTTATGAATTTTTGTTAGGACCAAATATGATATGGTGCATTTTACAGTTCCAAAAGTATACATGAAGAGTGGCATTTTATAAGTGCTGATTGTTTTAAATGTACTCTTTGCATTCAGCTTTGATTTTAGGATGCTAGTAAATCTTAACATATTCAATAACAGTCTCAATATATCTTCCCTGGGGGAAACCAAAGGATTTCTAGATACTGCCTTCATCTATTGGTTCAATTTGACCTCCAAATTCAAACTCCAAACCTTCAAGTCTTTATCTTTAGTGTATATTAATTTTATACTTCCTGAATCCAAATGCTATTTTTATGTCATTGGAAAAAGATTCAATGACATAAAAAAAGCTATTTAATGTGTGTGGCTTTTTTTTTCTTTTTGGTAGAGCTATATGGTGTAATGTTATCCATGTACATCAAAGGATAAATAAAAGGTTTGGTTTGACTCCCTCTTTAACTTGGTAGGCACACTTGGTTCTTTTTAGGAGTCATGATAATGGCTATAAAGCTAGGCAGAACCATGATGGGCTTAAAATGTTTCCCTGAAAAATGCCATGTTTTATATCAATAGTTTACAGCATATTATAACGGTATTTAAAGAGAATAGTTTTCCATGTGTATACCAATATCAAAATGTTCTCACTATAAATAGATTTCTTTTATATATTTGTAGTACATAATTGAAACTGAGTTAAAAGCTGTACAATTAATCAATAAAGGCAATACAAATATTATGGTACTTTGGGATGGCATCTTCAACAATTACTGAAATGATGATGGAATATCCTCGGGACTTTTTTGACACACCCTAGTCACTCCTTAGCCAATATACTATTTTCCTGTACTTATAGATTTTTTTGGTTATATGAGTGCAATGCTTTGCATAAAATACACAGATAATTAGAGTATATTTGAAGATGTCACTGGGGCTCTTATTTTTTGGTAGCAGATATGCAATGCTTTCTGTTAAGAAAGCTGGGGGTCAGGCTAAAGTCTGAGAGGAAGCTGGTAAAACCCTTTGCTAATGCTTAATCTGCCACTATGACCATCTAAATCAGTAACTAGGGATCTTATCTGGCCTCACCATTGTCTAGTTTTGAACAACAACAAAAAAAGCTACTATTTCAGTCACCTCTCTTGGTGAAACAGTTCTATCATTTACTGCATTAAATGTAGAAGCTTTCTATTTTGTACTTGACAGAACTTGCATTTATGTTGCATTGGACATATTACAACCATATGAATAACCAGAAATTTTCCATGTCTTCCTTCCTGGGAAATTGTTTTTAACCCCATAGTTTCCTTCTTTCTCTTTAAAAAGTTTTTGATTGATGTTGAATTGTTTATTTCACTGTTTGTATAGCTTTGATTCCTAATATTGATTTTATTCTTTTGGCTTTTGCTTACAATTTTTTTACAACTTTTGCTTATAATTATGGATTAAAGTCATATAGAATTCTGACATACTTGTGTTTTCCTAATTCTGCTCTGCATATTCTTTTGTTGTTGTTGCATTTAAGTGGGTGATATGATTTTTCAATTTTCTATAGTACATACCAGTTAGATAATGATGCAATCTACCATTGCCTTTCTGTGGATCATCAGTGGTTATCTTAAATTGGTTTGCCATGGTGTTTGATACCTGTCACTGAAGTATTCTTTTCTAGCTCTACTTTTCCTCCTGTGGTTCCTATCCTGGCACTGTCACATATATTGCTGTGTACAGAACATGAAAACATTTTATACATTCTGCCAAATACTTTGAAAGAATGTAGGCTTGATGGCTATAGCAAATACCAATTTTTAAAAATTAACTATTTTGGCGTAATTTGTCTGCTAGGCATCAGACTTACAAGGACTTTTTGAAATTCTAGTCTAAGTATATTCTTCTACTTTTCAAAATCACTTGAGACATTAATATTGTTTTTAATCATCATTGGGTATAATTTCTAGCATTTGCATTAAGTAAATATTTTCAATGATCTTAGATTCTTTAACTTTTCTCTCCTCAGTTTGTAGTAGCTCCTTGATTTCTTCTCCTAATTTATCTAATCTAGATTTAGAGATAAAGTTATTTCTGGTTATTTCCCTGCATTGCTCAGCAGTGCGTTATATGATTTGGAGCTCACAAAAAGCAGTATGAAGCCCTTACCTATAAATAGGGAGCTGGGGACAGGACCTATTATTTCATTGTCATAGGAAACTCCCAAATAAGGAAGTGCTCAGCACCTTTTCTATAAGTTGTAGTCTTGGGCAGTTACCTAGAGAGCACTGTGAGGTTAAATGATTTGACCAGGTGACCACACAATTAGTATGGACCCAGGGCTTGTTGGTTTGAAACTGGCTTTCTATCTACTATCTTATGCTACTTTGAAGGAGGTGACACTTGAGCTGAGCTTTAAAAGGAGGCAGTAGTTCATTCTATGTATGAAGGGCTGTGTATAAAAGAGATGAAATATTGTTTACACATGAAGAATAGCAAATAAGTCAATTTGGCTAAATGGTAGAATGCACAAAAGGGAATAATATGAATTAGCTTGGAAAGACGGCAAGAGCTAGGTGGTAAAAGACTTGAAATCCCAAAGAGATGGATTTGTATTTTATTCTAAAGACAATAGGGAGACACTGAAACTTCTAGAGTAAAGCACTCACAGCCAAGCACGCGCTTTAAGAATGTCAATTGGGCAACTACAGAGAAAATGGATTTGGAGAGACTGACACAGGAAGATAAATTAGGTGTCTAATTTGTGTTCTGAAGGTAACATAGAAGTTCATTTGAGTTGTTTTCAGTTTTGTCCAGCTCTTCATGACCCATTTAGGGTTTTCTTGATAAAGATACTGGAGTGGTTCCGTGTCCTTTTCCAGCTTATTTTATAGATGAGGAAACTGAGACAAACAGGGTTAAGCAACTTGCTAATAAGTGTCTGAGGCCACATTTGAACACAGGAAGATCAGTTTTCCTGACTCAGGGCCTAGCACTCTATCCACTGCACCACCTTGTTACATTAATTAATAGAGAGGGCAGAGAGTAAATTAATGCTAATTAACTTTGTAACAGGCATGTCTGATTTCCTTTGAATTTAAAATATTTTATATTCAATAATATTAACTGAACACTTAATATATGCAGGACACTAGAAATAATAAAGCTATGTTGAAAAGACTTATGTAAAAAAAGATATAGAGTTACACTAATTTCTCATACTGGTTCCCTGCATCATTCCTTATGTCATCTATTCCACGGTACATACAGAGTTTCATCTCAAGCTGATGTAAAGCATCAGGCTATGCAGAGTTACACTTTCTAGTTTAACTTAAGCCATTCTTGGTGGTGCCTGAGCATTTTGATTCCAAAGAGGTTTCCTGATGAGTTGCATTCAAAGTAAGAGTAAAATTAAAAAAAAAAAAAGATGTGTCATAGATGATATACTTTATTATGTAAAGTAAGTCAATAAGATCTTGAAAACACAATTTTCTACAAATTAGTCATAGGTGGTATTCAACTAAGTCAGCCAATCTGTTAACTCCTAACTGGGCATTTTGAACTGAAGGTCTTATAGGTATCTTAAACTCAGTGTGTCCAAAATAAAACCCATTATCTCTACACCCACCTCTCTTCCCAACTTTTCCAGTGCTGTTGAGGGTACTACCATACTTCTAGTCACCTAAATTCACAGACATGGTATCATTTCAACTCCTCACTCTCACTCATCCCATATATCTAATTAGTTACCAAATCTTGTTTCTACCTATACATCTCTTGCAAATATCCCCTTCTCTCCACTCAGTCACTATGCTAATTCAGGATCTCATCATTTCTCACATGAACTATTACAATAGCCTTCTAATTTGTCTTCTTACCTCAATCTTCTTCCCATTTCAATCCATCTTCCACACAGCTGCCAAAGTGGCTCTCTATTAACTTTATGGTCTATAAATTACTTTTTCAGGCATTACAAGCTCTTCATAATCTAGCCCCTTATAACTTTTGCAGTCTTCTTGTATGTTACTCTCCTATACATCCTCTATGTTCCAATTATACTAACTTAATGTTCTTCATACACAATACTCTTACCTCCTGTCTCCATACCTTTGCACTAGCTGTCCTCCATGCCTAAATATTTTCCCTTCTCACTTCTACTTAAAATTATTGGCTTCCTTCAAGACTCAGCTCAAATTTCAACTTTTGCAGGGAGCTTTTCTAGGTTGCATTCCATCTACTTAGTATGTATCATGAATGTACACATACACATATACATATACATATATATATACACATATTATATATACACACACATATTTATGTTATCTTCACCACTGGAATAATAACTCTTCAAATGCAAGGATTGTTTTTTCTTTGTGTCTCTATTGCTCAGCACAGTGCCTGGCACACTTAATAAAGGCTTATTGAGTGACTAATTTCTGGAAATATAAAATATTACCTGCTTATTGGCTTTTAACACTGCCCTCAAGGTAGCTATCTGCTCCCGTTTTGTGCTCAGAAGTGATTTTAATTTCAAAATCTCTTCCATCAAGGCTTCCTTGTCTTTGTCTATCATTGGTGCCAGTTCTCGTGCAGCTGCCCGTTGACGTGACAGTTGTAATGACCGGTCCACTGCTTTCTGTAGATGTTTGATTTGGTCCCTAATAATGGCATTAAGGTTGTAGATATTCATTGGTTCTTTTCGAATATCACTGGTGTCTGACACTGGGGATGAAGGAGGGGCAGTAATGACAGGAGAGATTGTTGGTGTTTTGGTTGGACTTTGTTCCTTGTTGGCATCTGTGTTTTCTTTCAAAACTGATTCTGATTGGGTCCTTGTTTCTACTGGTGATACCATACTCCTCCTGGTGAGCCGTGGTGACAGAAGTCCCCTGGGATCATCAGGTCCTTTTAGGCTTCCACTGCGGGTTACTCTACTTTGCCTATAATAGTCCAACATGACCCTATTGGGAGTCTCATTATTACATAGACATACGTGGTGGTAAAGTTGAGCTAATTCTTCACTAAATGTTACTAGCTCATCTTGGGCTGTGTTAAGGGTATTATGGTTTTCATTGGCTATACTCGTCATCCTTTGCAACTCCTTTTCTATATGGACCATTTTCTCACCGCTTTCCTTTGTAGTTTTCTCTAGACTTGTCACCTGCTCATCATACATTTGAATCCTGCTCTCATACTTGGCCTTCTCTTCTGTGTAATTTTCTACATACTTATTATATTTCTCTTTCAAGGCCTTAATTTCAGCCTTCAGGTCAATCACTTCTGTAACAGCAACCTTATATTTGCATTCAAGAATCTCTAAGCCATTGATATCAACTTCATAGTCATGGGCTTGTTCCCCTGAGTCCCTGCCCTTCTCACAATCCAGCTCTGCCTTCAGCTCTTTGTTACTCTGTAGGCCCCTCATGGCATTGACATGTTCTGTGAGCTTATGAACCCGCTCATGCTGTTCTGTCAGTGCCCCCTTTGTGTGTTCCAACTGAGTTTGGGACTCTTGAAGATTGGCCAGAAGAATGGCTTTTTCTCGCTCTACCTGTAATAACAAATGAAAATCTATTAATGATTGAGATGCAAACCCTAAGTGATGGATTTCATGCATTTATACTCAGGCATTTACAGGTTTCCCAAAACAACAGCAAAGAATATGCTACCAATATTTAAACTTAAGTTAGCATTTTTTGTCCCTTCTTGTAACACTAATTTAAAATCCCTCCTGCATTTATATTAACATTGGTGCAGAACTATGCTGTACACATTACGCAATCACAATTTTATACATCACAGGGACTTAGATTCATAAAATGGCAAAGCCACTTAGCTAATCTAATTGCTTTAATTTTTTTTTTTTACAAATCGTAATATGATTGAGATATATAAGAGAGGCAGTCTGTCGTATTGAGAAGAACAAAGGGGTCAAATCTTGACTTTGCTATTTACTACCAATGAAGCAGGTACCTTCAATTTTTGAACCTCTATTAAATGGTTGAGTTGGACTAGATCATATTAAGGGTTCATTCTAATTTTAAATCTATGATATTACGAATGATATTTGCTTTTTAAAAATTTGCCACACTCATTATCTGAGAAACTTGGGAAGAGACGCATGAATTAATGCAGAGTGAAATGAGTAGAACCCAGAGAAAAATTTCTACAATAATACTAACATTGTAAAGAAAAACAACCTTGAAAGACTTAAGAATTCATGGCCAGTGGAATAACCAACCATGATTACAGAAGATAAATGATAATGTTTGCAACTCACCTCCTGACAGGGATAGACTCAAGGTGAAGAATGAGACATAAATATTTGGACACGGTCATTTGGGGAATTTGTTTGCTTGACTATATTTGTCACAATGGTTTTGTTTTTCTGTGCTTTTTCCCCCAAAGGGGTAGAGAGGGAGTCAGGAATGAAAAAGAACTTATTTTATATACATAAAAATGAAACTCTTGATTAAATGTATTTATGATCATATTTAATTTATTTAATGTTACTTCAGAAACCTAAAACCTTAATGTCCTTTGGAGGAAAATATTACTGATAAACAGCTATGCTGTCAATAATATAAACAGCTATGCTAGTCCTTGATCCTTTCTAAATTAAAAGATAAATTAAGTCAGTGTAATGTATAAGTTTCAGTCATCCTCAAACTGAAGTTTCAGAGAAACAATTTTTTTTGTTTTTTTTTAAATTTGGGACTTAACAGTAACCAAAAAGATGAGCAATTCTGCATATAAAATAAATTAGGGAAAGAAGATTGTACATAAAATACCAAATCTCTAATATGTATAGCTAGCTTACTTTTCCTCTCAAGTATATAATTAATTTGACATGTAACTTTTAAAGTCATCCTGCTTCTCTGTACTTTCTTGTTTTCTTCTATGCATTTAAAATAAGTGTTTCAGTGAGCCTCTCATCTTTATTTTTTTCTTTTTCTTTTTTTGTAATTCCTCCCAGTTATTCTTTTTCATTTCATATTTGATTATCATTACTGCAGTACTGCTGCTATTATGTGTAATGTTCTTCTGGTTCTGCTCACTTCACTTTGCATTAGTTCATCTAAATTTTCCCAGATTTTTATGAAACCATGTTTTTCATCATTTCTTACAGCACAACAGTTTTCCATCACAATCATATATTGCACCTTGTTCAATGAAACCCCTCAGTTTCCAATTCTTTGCCATAACAAATATAAATACTTTTGTACACATAAGTCCTTTTCTTTTTCCTTTGGTCCCTCTGGGATACAGACCTAATAGCAGTATTGTTGGGTCAAAGAGTAGGCAGTTTTATATTCCTCTGGGCATGGTTCCAAATTGTTCTCCGAAGTAGTTTGACCAATTCATAACTCTACCAACACTGTATTAGTGTACCTTTTTTTCCACATCCCTTCAAGCATTTATCATTTTCCTTTTCTGTCATATGATCCCCTCTCTCCTATTTTCAAGTGGATTATTGGACTACACATATCTATTACAACTCAAATATTTGTAGTAAAATGCTCTTTGGAGGGCCAGAATAAAAAAGCCACTTTCCCTGGTCACTCTGGGGGAAGTAAGTCAGTTCCTTTCAGACTGGGAAAGGTTAAGTTAAACTTGATCAGCTTAGCTCTCCTTCTACCAAATCTTTAGTATGCAAAAGCCAAGGATGAATAACCAGCATACATTTTTCAAAGTAATCAGCAAAATTATACCAAAGGAAGGTATACAGATTACTTTAAGCAATATGACACACAAGAATCAGGCAGAGAGCTTTTGTGACTTTGGAGAAATATAAAATCTCAGCTTAACCTAGGAGTAAATGGTCTCCCCAACTTTGGCAGTTCTCTGGGATTCAGACACTGCATCACAGAATTTGAATGTTAGAAGGATCTCAGAGGCCATCCAGGCCAACTCACACACAAAAGGAATCCTTACTATAACGCAATGATTAAGTGGTCATCTGGCATCTTCTTGAAGATCTCTAAGAAGAAGGCACCTACTGCTTCTCAAGGCAAATAATTCCACTTTTAGACAATTCTAATTATTAGGAGGTTTTTCCTGACAGGAAAATTGCCTCTGTACTTTCCACCCTTCCTCCTGGCTCTGCCCTCTGGGATAAAATTAAACAAGTTTAGTCCTTCCTCTACATGATAGCCCTTCAAATACTTGAAGACAACTGTTCCCCTTGAGCCTTCTCTTCTCCAGGCTAACCATGCTCTGTTCTTCAATCCATCTTCATATTTCATGGAATCAAAGCCTTTCACTAGCCTGGTTGCTCTTTTCTACATACTCTCTATCTTGTCAATGTCCTTCTTGAACTGTAGAGCTCAGAGGTAAACACAAGACTACATTTGATGAGAGCAGTGTACTATTGGATTACTATCTCTTTATTTCTGGAAGCTATATTCCTCTTAAAGGAGCCCAAGATTACATTAGCTTTTTTGCCTACTACATCATATCACTTGGGACCCTTGGGACTTTTTCAAAACAAATACTATCTAAGTATGCCTCCCCAATATTAAACTTACTAAATTGACTTTTTGTAACCAAGTGTAAGACTTTGCATTTATCCCTATTGAATTTCACTTTATTAGATTTAGCCCTGTCAATTCATTTTAGATCCTATGTCATCCATTGTGTTGCCTATTCCTCCCAGCTTTGTGCCATCTGCAGAGCTGTGCTAGCAGCCTGTGCTAGGCAGGGCCTGATTCAGGCCAGTCCCCAGGCAGTTTAAGTTTTATATTGGAACATCATGATGCACTGTGTTCATTCAACAGTTAACAAAAACACATTTACTTAGCCGTAGCAGGATAAGGCTATTTAAAAAGTATAGGCACTGAGGACACCTTGAGTTAATTCAGATGAGTGAAGCCCTTTATGGTTGCTTTGTACTCAGGAGATGAGGAAATGACATCAGTAGTGTGAGACTTTAGTCCCCTGAGCCAATCAAGTCTTGAGAAATGTCTCAATACCTTTTAAGAAAAAACTAGTCTAAATTATATGGGCTTAAGGGTTAAGATACTGCTCTCATCACATATGCTATTTATCTTTTTGTTTTGGTTACTGATATGTTAAACAGCACAAGACCAAGCACAAATACCATTATAATCTGAATTCATATGACTGTACAATTACTCAATAAATCAATAAACATTTATTAAGCACTTACTATATGCCAGGCACTGTGCTAAACACTGGGAATACAAATAAAAATAAAAACAACCTAATGGATTATATAATGTATACAGTATATAATGGCCTAATTGGTACCTCTCCATTTTTTCCACAAGAATAATAAAAGATACTTTGCTAAAGTATCAGTAAACTATATCCAGAGCATCCCCCTCATCTACTAATTTAGCAGTCTTGTCTAAAAAGGAAATGAGATTAGTCTACCATAACCTGTTCTTGATAAAGCCATGCTAACTCTTTCTAATTTCTGCTCACCTTTCTAGATATTCACTCATCACCTTCTTAATGATCTGTTGTAGAATTTTCCCAGAAATTGAAATTACACTCACTGGCCTATAGTTTGTAGGCTATGCTGTAATATTATAGGGGGGAAAGTGTATCTTTAATGAAATAGAGGCTTTTAAGCATTCCTGATGAAAAGACCAAAGCTCCATAGAAACTTTGAAGTTCAAACACGAGGGTGAAAAAAAAAACATAAAAAGTAACCATGAATGAAAAATGATAAAGGCTAAAAGAGGATAAACTTTATATATTCAAATATGTGGAGATGATGTATCATCATCATCGTTAGAGGTCATTGAGGAAGTCCAATTAGACAAGGCCTGGGAGTGGTTCTGTTATGTCTTGATGATCTTAAGAAAAAATGGAAAAAGAGGGAAAGAGTGCTGAGAAAAGAAAAAAAAACACTGCAAGCACTGGAGAGGGGATGTAAAGAAAAATTAGGGGAAATTATCTCAAATAATCAGAGTGTGCAAATAGACATCTATACAAACAAGAAGGGAGGGGTGAAGGAGGAGTGGCTGGCACTCAAATCTCATTCTCATCTGTACTGGTGAAAAGAAGGAAGAATACATACACACACACACACACACACACGATTTGAGTACAAAAATATATTTCACTTAATAGCAGGGAAAGGGAAGAAAGGAGGGGGCAGAATTAGAGGGAGGGTAGATTAGGGGAGGGATTATCCTAAGCAAAACAGACTATTAAATATGCATAAAAATATTTAAGGCTCTTTGGGGTGGCAAAGAATGGGAATCTGAAGGGGTGCTCATACATTAGGGAATGGATGAATAATTTATGGTACATAAATGTGATGGAATATTATTGTGCTGATCTCTTATCATCATAATAACCAACTGCAATTCCAGAGGACTAATGACATATGATAGAGAGGTGAAGGATCCAAAATACAAAATAAGAAAAACATTTTTTGGACACGATGCATGTGAAAATTTGTTTTGATTATGTTTTTAATTGAGCATGTTTCTCTGGTATTCTCACTTAGTGGGACAGGAGGGTGAAAAGTAGATTTTGGATGATTAAAACAAAATATTTTTTAATTATTAAATTAAA